TTGTTCTTGTTCTTGTACATTCTTCCCGCTAGCATTTCCTTCAAGTCTAAAATGTTCTCAATGCTACCCTGAGGTCAGAACGTGTGATTCATTCTGAGTTTAAACTTATATCTCTTGAAATTGATCTTGCATTGCACTTATATGTGTATGTGTCTATTTAACTCTACCGAGCCACGGCATAGACAGTTGGGTACGACACCAACCACTAATCAGTTGGTTATGAAGAGATACAATGCAAAATAATATCGAGCCCTTATGTGGCCGAGTATGACCGAGCCCTTATGTAGCCGGGTACGACTGAGCTTTCTATGAGGTCGGGTACGGAATGAAGTTATATAAGACGTAAACGAGCCCTTATATGGCCGGGTATAACTGAGATCTCCCGAGGCCGGGTATAATCGAGACCTCCTAAGACCGGGTATGATGTGATGGAAGAAATAAACTTTACCGAGTCATCTACGAGGCCGGGTACGTATGAAATGATAAGCCCAAAGAGTGGGTGAGTAATATTATATTATATTTAACGCATAGTTCCCATGACTGGCTTAACCTTGTATAAAACTTGCATACTTTTAAGTTTTATGGTTTCCACAATTTGCATCCTCAGTGGCTGGTCTTCGGTATTCAGGTTTAAATGAAGTATTCATACCTCTTATGTAATGTCTTTGATTTACATGCTTTCTTAGTCTTGCATGCTCAGTACATTTTTCGTATTGACGTTTTTTTCTTGGGGCGTTGTGTTCATGCCCACATATACAGATAGACCTAGCGACGTCCCTCCCCAATAGGGTGTCCGTTCTAGCTAATTGATCGCTGCACTCCACTCCTTTGGAGTAGCTATACAGAAGTCAATGGGTACTGAAGCATATGTTCTAAAAAAATTTGGGTACGGTTGGGCCATGTCCCGACCAAGTTGTGTATATATGTATTCTCTTGGCACTCTTAGAGTCTTGCAGACTAGTGTTTGCTTGTATGTAAGGGCGGGTTATGACCATGTTGATAACAGTTGTGAAGTTGTATGTATATTAATGTTTCTTTTTCAGTCAGTTGAGTACATTTGAAGTTTCCTGTATTACTACTTGGAGGCCTCGTTGGCCCAGGTCATGATTAAATAGGTGTAAGCATGGACGTTGGCTCGCACGGGCCCTTGGGCGTCGTGTGCCGGTCGCAACTCCCGAGGTTGGGGTGTGACAGTAATAGTGGCAAGAATTATTAATGATACTCGCTAATAACGTGCTTAATTCTTGAATTTCATAAGTTCACAGCAATGGTGCAATCTAATCATATAATACATATAAAACTACATAGGTACACAAAGAGATAATTTGCTAATATGCGTACAATATCATTAAATCATCAAACTTGCATATAGAGAAGATATGCGTAAAGTATCAAATAATCCTTCCACAATTGCATATAGAGAAGATATGCGTGAAATAACAAATAATCCTTTAAAAAGTGAATATAGAGAAGATATGTGTGATTAAAAAAGAAGATATGTACAGTGTCTCTTCTCATCAATTAAGGTAGCATATTGGAGATATGCATAAAGGCATGTATACATTCCAGAGCTAGCATTTAGAGAAGATATACAGAAAAATCATGTATACATCCAAGGAGTTTGCAAATAGAGAAGAGAAGCAAGGTCCAACCAATGATCAACTTTACCAAAATTCAAAACAACCAGAAACCTGTCGGCTTCTCACAACCTGCGTGTACATCATCAAGAGAGAAATATGAGAGGGTGATCCTAGGGGGGCAGGGACAGAGGCAAGATCTCTATATGTTGATAGATACCCGAGAGACTGAGTCCTTGGGGGAGAGAGAAAGGAGGCATTACTCCCAGAAAACGTGCAACCAACCTTTCCTGGATCCTTATCCACACACTGCATGGACAACTCACGTATTGCACAGAACTCACGTGCCAATAATAACAACTGCATGAACAAGTCACATGCCAATAATAATAACGGCACGGATAACTCACGTGCCATAAATAACATCTGCATGGACAACTCATGTGCTATCATAATAATCGCACGGACAACTCACGTGCTATCCTAACTCGGATCCGCATGGATCACTCACGTGCTATATGTCCAGTCCATATGACGCAGAAAGCATATATACAAGAATACATATACATGAACAATGAATATCAAATTACATACTCATGGATTGATATAAGTGACATGCTAAGGTATATGCCTGTGCGAAGTATACTACCATAGCTTAAACTAGGCAATTTTATCACAAAATAGCAGTTATCATGTTCATTCAAGAGATTAACCTACATGTAACTTCTAACATGATCCAAGTTGCTCACAAAAGGGTACAAACATCAAAAACATAATATCATGAGACTTAGCAATCAATTCAAGTCATATCATAGCCTAAGCACTATCCCGAGCATGGATAATACCTCGGTGCACGCACATAAACACAACCCCTCACATGTGCACCACCCATAGCACGTAGTTATCACTAATAACTCAGGCAACTAGTGCCTAAACCAAGTTTAGGTAACATATTTACCTCAAACAAGCTCAATAAATACCCTAAAAATTCCTTCCTGCGCGAATCGACCTCCGAACTGCTCGAATCTAGCCAAAATCAAAGTCAAGAAAACAAATATTGGCATACGAATCAAACCCAAATGATAAAGGTCAAATCTTTTAACCAAATACTCAAAGTCAACAAAAATTCAATCGAGGCTCGTACCCCCAGAACCAAACAAAACTAACAAATCTCGAAAACCATTCAAATACGAGTCCAATCAAACAAGTTTCAGCCAAATCCGACTCCGGAGATGTTCAAAATCCAATTATTCACTTTAGAAAGTTTTGACAAAAACCCCCAATTTCTCTTTTAAATTCATCAATAAAATGCCAAAACCAAAGACGGAATCATGTATAATAATCAAATTCCAGTCAAAAATACATACCCAATCAAGTATGTGAAAATCGCTTCATGAATCGCCTCAATCCGAGCTCCCAATCTCATAATATGGTAAAATGAGTTCCAAGTCCAAAAATAGAATCTTATACAACTACTCCAAGAGTACCATTTGCGATGCGGCTTACTCCACGCGACTGCGTAAGCCAAATTCACCCTGCCTCCAAAAAATCTCTTTGCGAACGCGACCTATAACCTGCGGACGTGAAGACCATCTGGTCTCACTGATCTCACCTCATCGCGAATACGAGAACCAATCGCGAACACGCTAGCCTGCTGCCCGACCTCTTCCATCACTCCGCGAACTCGGTATCCAAATCGCGAACGCGATTCACAAATTCACTCCTGCCATGTTTCCTCTCGAGAACGGGAAAGCTTAACCGCGAACACGATGCTCAACAGATAAACTAGAAAAACCAGCAATACAACATAAACAAAAATGGCGCAAAACCACCCCGAATCACACCCGAACCTCATGGGACCCTGTCCAGTCCAGCCAACAAGATTCAATACCTAATACAAACTTATCTGAGGATTCAAAACACAGTGAATAACATCAAAACAGAATCATCGAACAAGGTCACTCTTTTAATTTCATAAACTTCCAACTTCAAACCAAACGTCCGGTTCAAGTCTAACCAATCCGGAATGAACCCAAACTTTGCACACAAGTCCCAAATGACATAACAAACCTATTCTAACTCCCAGAACAACAATCCCAGCTCGATAACATCAAAGTCAAGTCCCGGTCAAACGTATGAGCTTTTCAAACCTTCAAATTTTCAACTTTTGCCAAACAGAGCCTAAAACTTCTAGAAATATCCAAATACGAATCCGTACATATGCCTAAGTCCAAAATCACCATATGAACATATTGGAACCATCAAAACACGAATCTGATCCGTTTACACAAAAGTCAACCCTTGGTCAACTCTTCAACGTTAAGCCTTCAAAAGTGAAAATTTCTCTTCCAAATCAATCCTGAACTTCTCGAACATCGAAACCAACCATACATGCAAGTCATAATACATCATATATGAAGCTACTCTAGACGTCAAGCCACCGAACAAAATGCGAATGCTCAAAACGGCAAATTGGGTCATCACAAGATTATACTCTTTCGCAAGGTACAAGGACAAGTGCTTCAGCCAGTGCATCAAGATACTCTTTTATTTTGTAGATTCGTCGACACAACAATCCAACAAGGGAGCCTTAGATGAAATGGTTTTTGTGCAGAGGGATACACTTTTCTTGTGATAGTCTTTGAACCAACTTCTGAGTGCTCTCTTTCACATTTAGTTGTATTTGGAAACATTGACTTCTATAACATTCTGCATATTCCTAATTGGTCACCTCACCTCTTGTTCATTTCCTTTTAGAAGGGAATTAAGGAACAGCTGATTGTTAGCAACAACAGATGACAGTGGTGAGGGTGTTATGAGATATCATACTCTCACAACCAAAAGGTATTGGCTCGAATGCAAGTATCCCAGGAAATTCGCCTCTTTTGTTGTTACCTCCTAAAACATATTTACTAATAACTGTATCCCACTTCATATAAGACTACTATTAGTGAATAATCAAACAATTCTTCCTTTGTTAGTGAATTTTCCAAACATCTTAAGGAATTCTGATTATAAGAAATTTAAACTTAAATACATAATTTTTCGCTGAAAAGGAGAAGGAGTTTGATACACAAGTACTATTAAAATTGAATAGTTAACTCTCATACTTTAAACTTGTCCACCATCATTAGACGGCAAGAGTACTACAGTTTTCGTAACTGAAATAGATGCTTTAACCCTCAGTATCATCCTTTTTGGGTCAATAAGTACTCCTGCGTATTTTAAAGATACGCAGCTTGTAAGAGCAGAAACAATTCTACATGACTTAAAGAGGAAGGGGGAAGAATACTTTATGGGCATGGCTCGTCACTCTGATTTTTACAACATAAAAAATCATGCGGAGAAATAAATAAGCTATCAAGAAAAGAAAGATTTACTCCTCTCAGAAAGTTAGAAAGGAACAACTTCTTGTGATGAAGCCTACTGATTCTTTTTCTGCTTCGAAGTGAAAGAAGTGGATTTTCTAGTAGGTTTTCTATCTTGACTTGAAGTTCTAATAATAAAGAGAAGTGTCTCAACAAGCATGCCACCAACCAATCCAAGAATGCCTCCGGCGGCGCTCTGAAGAACGAGTAAGAAAATAGCAATTAAACTTCAATAGATAGGACCAGAGTAAAAGACAAAAACAGAATGAAGACTTTGGTTGCTCCCACATATAGAGCCTGTATCAAATGAAGTCATGACTAATTCAACGCAAGAACTTACCATTGCTGGACTGTGACTAAATAATGCCCTGAATGCATAATATCCCACCAGATAGCCAGTGAACATCATTAGAGCGACATGTAAACCTGCACCAACGGACCAGAACTACTGAGAAAGTGCGATTAAACTGCAAATCAACATCTTGTTAATTCTAAAGAATCTACCTAACAGGCTAACAGAGAACATAACCTGAAAGAGCGGAAAAGCAACAAAAATGAAATACTCTAAGTTGGTAGAGAACACAGACTATAAGCTCATGTACACAAGCTACAAGTTAGCGGTACCTAGTTCACTACAGACTCTCTCAGAGTCACATGGTCAAATCAGGATGCAGCAACTGTATCAACTCACAATTGACATTAGCAAATCAAGTGATATGATACACTTCATAAGAAGGCAGCTTAAGGGATTTGATTAATGTTAAATAACATGAGAAATAACAGTCAGCACTAGAACGTCTCCCAGAATTGTATAGTTTAAATAACTTATGAAATAACAGTCAGTAACTTCTCTCAAGAATTGCCGCACTACTCAATAAAGTAGCAAGATGAGGAAACAGAATAAGCACTGGCTTTCGCAACAAAACGCGCATGCGGACACACAGATTAACACAAGCAAGAGGCCAAGTTCTAAAAAGGACACATCACATTTTTTAGGAGGACTTTTTCTCCAAAGCCTCTATTCTATCTAACATTCAACTGAAAAAACAATAGGTCAAGTCCGCAAGTACTACATTCAATAAGGAGGAATGTGAAATCAACAATTGCAGAATCCAGAATGAGTGGAACAGGGAGATAAACAGGACGACAGATTTTATTAGATGATTGGAACCTTTTTAAACCTTGTCCAGCAATGATGAAAGGAATTTTGGAAGATGCAGTTCATTTACTGTAAGCTCTTATTATAAGTTATTGACTGTTGGTGAAGGCAGGCCTAACACCTGGCCATGGAGGAACATATGGAGAACAAAAGCACCGTTGGAAGTAGCATGCTTTCTGTGGTGGTTGCAAATGAAGCATGTTTAACACAGGAAAACCTCCTGAAAAAAGGTACTCCAGTTATGTGCCAGATGTTACCTATGAGGATGAAGCCTGAAAAGTATACTCCACCTGATTTTGCATTTCCCTGTCGCTTTATAATATCTCTTTTTCGAATTTGTTGGACATTCATTGGACAATGCCAAGATGCTATGTTGCTCGGACTCTTCAAAATATCATTGAGTGCGCGTTTGATCCTCCAAAAGTAATACATTTTTGAAGGGTCTGACACGGGTGTGGCAGTAGTTTTGAAGAGTACGAGCAACATAGTCAAGATGTACCATTGACTTGTCAAGAAAATGGTACAGAAAAGGCATGTCGAAGGAGCAAAAGAGATGACGGTGTACCATATCAGCTACAATCTGGTGGACCATTTGGAAAGAATGAATGCTAGATGTTTTGAAAATAAAACCAGCTCCAACAAGTGTATATTTTTGTCTTTTCTTTTTGGTGGAAAGAAGAATTTGTTACTGAAGTAAAATCTTTGTTAGATACATTAGAATTCCCGCTGTATTGGATAGATAAAGATATGGAGACTGGATTATCTTTATTAGTATTGAAGCACATTTCGTGTTACATTTATAAAACTTACCTTTTCTCAGAAAAATGTGAAATCAATGTTAAAAGTTGAGAAACGAAGCAGTTATGCTAGAATGTGTCTACTTTATTCTATATGTACAGGTTAAATGTGAAAATATATTACATCAAATGATCCCAAAAATTGTTCCACAATAAGGAATCCCAATAATCAGGGAAGTTTTCTATTTCAAATTTTCTACATCATAAGCCCCAATGTTGTCACTCAATTCAATGAGAATTTTCTCTCCTGTTCTCTCTTTTCACATGGTAGCAAAGATTCTACGATCTTGCAAGAGATCTAAGTAGCTTTTGCCTACCACAGAGGTGTTAGTCAAAGTTCTTTTATAGTTTATCACTCATATTTCTTTTTGATGATCAATCCAGTGATACCACATCTCTTGTCATGTTTTTCTTTGATATTTTCCAAACATCATAGAGGTTCGTTTTGTTATACACAAAAGCAAACTCTCATTTTCAAATTTCTCCACACTCACTCACACATTCAGCCAGAGAGCTCAAGTCTCTACTGGTACATTGTCTCATGAGTCACATGTACTACTAGTTGTTCTCGTAGTGCTTATATTATCGGTCTACATTACCTACCTGACAAGTCAAAAATTCATTTTGTTTATGACTGATGTCATCACTCATCAGTAAAGATGATTTGTCAAGTATTTTGCCCCGTCATGTCAGTGGTCAACTTTTGTCCCATCAGTACCATGTCATCAGTCACACAGTTAATGTCATGTTATTGCACATTCAAGTTTTCAACACCATCAACTGTCAGCGAGCATTATTCAGTCAAGCTAGCAGCATGCTTGTCTTTGTAAATGATCAAGTCAAGTTGGCATCGTGCATGTCCTCATTCTCAATTACGCTACATCGATTCATAGTAGCACCGCCGTCATTCAGATATACTTGATGATGGTACCAACTCAATTTTATTTTATTTTTAACACATTTCGGCAACGATATTGTTGAAATAACTGCTTCTTTAGCAACAACTTTTTTTCAGATACTCGACTCAGCATTCCAGTTTCACTTCACAAAATCAAGTTGCTTCACCACCATAAAATTGATAGTCCGCATTGAAAGTCAAGAGAACTAATGCAACTATACGTTGGAATGTCTCCAAATTTTATTCTATATGTCATAATTGTACAAATATTGTAGAGAATATTCTTAATGAATTTTTCACAATTACGATTTCCGATAATTAGGAAAACATTCCAATTTCATGTATCCACTTTATAGGAAGCCCTCGCATTCATCAATCAATTCAATAGCAGTTATCTCTCTTCTTTTCTTTTGTTTTCTCTTTCACAAACATAAACTTCAAAAGCACAAAAGAAAAACATTCATAAGTTATCATACTCTATGCAGCAAGCATGGGTGCAGGTTGTTTACCGTGAAAATGGTAACGACAATTAAATTTGTAAAATGGGACTCTAAAAATACGTGATCTATTCCCGAGCTAGTTGTTAGAGCGCACATGATGCTACTAATATGTAATTTAACGATGGAGCGTGAGTCAAAACGAGATAATGATCGAACCGGAGGGCCTGCTACCCGGATGTAGGTTTGGTCGATGGGGGCTTCGGGGTCGACCTCGAGATCGAATTCGGGCTATCGGGGACAATCGAGGGTAGTATAACAGTTAGAGATACGATCAAATAAAGCTCTTTATAGCCGAAACTAAATCATACGATGAAGAACACATATACAGGCGAAGGATATCGAGGTATCCTCGGATCAGTGGGAGCCAATAAGCTTTTAGAGAGAAGAGAAAAGATATTATTGCACTTTTGTAGAATTGTTGGAGCTCTGCCTTACAGGGTATTAATGACACTCCTTTTATAAGGAGGGGGGGGGGGGAGCCAAAACTTAGTACAAGAGACGTTGCGTGATAGAGAAAAGGAGATGGGACAGCCAACTAGCTTTACTGACATGTGCGTGGGCCGACGTTGAGC